ACCCTACAATGGACGGATATACGCAGTGAGGAAAAAAAAATATCCCTGAACTCCAGCACCCGCGCTGTTGGTCCGCGGCGAGGCTCCGCCTCCTCGGGGCGGGGCGACCTCGAGAGCCTCACGTGACGCGCACTAATTTCGGGACCTTGGACGTGGGCGCGGGGTGGGGGTGGTTAGAAGAGCTGTGCCGGCCTTTCCTAGTGGGACCGCTTCTTCCGGGCCCTTACCCTTTCGCTCCTTTTGGGGAGGGATTGGAGGGTTTATCAACCGGTCTGCTCTTGTGTCCTAACCATTTCCGTGTTCTTAGTACTTTCCCATACTTCTGACGCTTAAAACTACCAAGCAAAATAGACATTGTCCCTCTTCTATTAAGGACACTGAGGCTTAGAGAACCGAGCCTGTTCGTTTCTAAATACGGTGTAACAAAAGACTTACTGTGCCTGGAATTTTTCTAGGCCTTGGGGATTCTCTGGAAAAAAGGATCCAACCCAGGGCCTTGCATGTGCCAGGCAGCGTTCCACCCCGGAGCTAGATCCCGGCCCTATGTTCGAAAGTTAAAGATATTTTAGAAATACATGAGGACCAATTTCTGTGGTGAGAATAGAGGCTCACGCAGGTTCGCTGGAAAAGTAACATGGGATCGGAGACTGGGTGTGAGCGAGGAGCGGGACAGTGGTGGCCTGAGGTGTAGCTGGACAAGGGGACGGTGCTGGCTGAGCAGGTGTGTGTGTGCAGGAGGCGCTGCGGGCCTTCTGGGAGTGGACTGTAGGCCGCTCGTGAGCAGCAGCTGGATTGGCTGTGTGTCTTGGAAGCAGAACCAGTAGGACTTGCTGAAGGACTAGATTCAGAACAGTGGGGAGTCCACGCAGTAATAATAGAGGGGTATGGACCTGGACTTAGCTCAGTGCAAGCGCAGGGTCCTGAGTTTGATCCCTGGTACCACTAAATAATAATAAAGCAAGATGTATGTAGTATATCCTTCTGAACTTCAAGCTATATACATATACATACATATATATATATAATATATATATGTATCTCCAAAATGTTTTAATTTTTCCTTTTTATTTCTTGCAGTAGTAGAATTGAAATTCAGGGTCTTTCACTTAATAGTCAAGCACTCTGCCACTAAGTTATTCCCTCAGCACCCCTGTTTTCTCTAATACTGGGGATTTAACCCAAAGCCTTTGCACTGAGTTACGTCTCCAACCCCACTGTAATTATTATTATTTTGAGACAGGGTCTCATTCTGTAGTCTAGGCAGGTCTTGAACTGAAAATCCTCTACCTTTAGGCTACCAAATGCTAGGATTCACCTGGCTTTCTCCAAACCTTTTGAAAAATATTTATTTGGAGGTATGGTAGATTGAACTCTGAGCCTCCAACATGCTAGGCAAACACTGTAGCCCTGAGTTATAGTCCCTAGCCCACCTGTTAAAATTTTGATGTATATGTCTGTGTGTGTGTGTGTGTGTGTGTACATTTGTACAAAGATACGGAGTACAGTATGATACTTCAATACATTATGCAACATGTAATGAACAAAAATGTTTCAAAATGATTCCTAGTTAACTGGGCATGGTGGTGCACACCTGTAACCCCAGGACAGGTCGGGAGGCTGGGGCAGGATGATTGTCATGAGTTCAAGACCAGCCTGGGCTACATAGCAGAGACCCTGTCTCACAATAAATAAATAAATAAAATTAATTAATACAATGACTCCTAGGACTTGGGTAACCACAAGAAGCTGGGTGGTTAAGGAAAAAGAAAAAGCTGGGTGGTAGTGCTATTTCTTAAGAAGGGGAAAATTGAGGGTTACGTCTGAGAGGGGTTTTCCAAGTGAGGCCTGGCCTGGCTCAGCTGCCCCGTGGGAACGCTGAAGGGCAGCTGTACACCAGCCCGGGTCGGTAGGGGCACTGGAGACTGCTGTGAGCGGCAGGCTGACTCGGCTCCAGTGCGCAGGAGCCTGGTCCCTGCCCTAAGGACAGCGCCTGTGCCTTCGCACTTTGCACTCCTCCCTCCCACTCAGGAGAGGTCATGTGCTGGACAGGAACACGTGAAGGAAATGGCTTCCAAGCTCTATGCCTTAATGCTATGCTCTAAAGATGGAACAAAGAAGATCTAAGCAGGTGTAGTGGTGCATGCCTACAGTCCCAGCCATTAAGGAAGCTGAGGCAGGAGGACTGCAAGTTCAGGTCCTACTTGGCGGGGGGGGAAGAGCTGGTAATGCAGCTCAGTGACAGAGCTCTTGCCTGGCATGCACAAGGTCCTGGGGTCATGCCCTAGTACAAAAAAGAGGAAGAAAAGGGAAGAAAGGTTTAAGCCAGGCATGGCATCACACGCCTGTAATCCCAGCACTTGGAGGCATAGGCAGGAGGATCGCTGCGAGTTCAAGACAGCCTGGGCTACACAGTGAGACCCTGTTTCAAAAAAGCAAAATGAGGGCCAGGGATTTAGCTCAGTGGTGCTGCCACCTGCCTCGTAAACACAAGGACCCGAGTTTGATCCCTGGTACCAAAAAAAAAAAAAAAACCACAATGAGACAACAACAAAAGCAAAAAAACTTTAACTTGGAGAAACTGGAGGGCCCTTCTTTGCCACCTCACCTTATCCAGTGATGGGCAGGACAATCAACCTCTCAGCCTGAAGGACATTTTATGTTTTGATTTTCTGGTTTTCCTCTGACTGCTCAGTTTTGGGCACAGCAGTGCTGAGTCCTGAGCAGGACTCCACCCTCGGGTCGCTACTCTGTGCCTCTTCCTGGGGACCATTACTATTTACCTCCTGTGCTGTGGAGGACGCCCCTCCCAACCTTTCTCCACAGACTTACGAAGGCACCTTGAGCTCAGTGTGCTGGAAAGGGCCCGGCTGTTCTGCCTCTGGGATTCCCTATCTCAGTCAGTTATTACCAAGCCAGGGACCAGCAACTGGATACCTCTTTGACCCTCCTGCATGCATTCTTCAGTATCAGGTCCTGCAGAGAGAGCTTCCTCTTAAATCTCTCAGCTTGTCCACTAGTTGCTCACTTGACATCTCCGTTTGGAGATATCATAAACATTGTAAACTCAGTGTATTACTTACTTTTCTCTCACTGCTGAGACAAAATACCGACACCCAAGGTTAAAGGGAAAGGGGTTTATTTGGCTTACAGTTTGTAGAGGTTTCAGTCCATAGCTGGCTCCAAGGCAGGGATGGCAAACAAGCACAGCAGAGCAGAAACGACACAGCACATACAAGGCAGCAAGAGTAACGAGAGACAGTAGTGTCTCCCTGCCTCTTTTATCTTACCTAGGCTACTTAAAGCAAGTAGCACTCACATGCTTAATCCTAGTGCCCTTGAGCCTAGCACTGCACCATGAATCAGTTCCAGCTTCACACACTGTCAATCCATCCTATGACCACATGAGGCTTTGGAGTGACTTCTAGACCCAAACCATAACAGTGTGTCCAAAACATACTCATTTCTGCTCCCTCCTAACCCTCTCCCCTATAGCCCTCTGCTTCACAAAGATCCTAGAGCCAACCCTTCAGCAATTCTAGATCTGCCCCACACCCAGCTCAATCCCAGGGCCAGGCAAGCACGCTACACCAAGCTCCCCACCCCCAACTACTTAACATCTCCACTGCAGGCTTCGTAGGTCTTAACTGGGGTCCTTGCTTCTGGCCTTTAACCTCCTGGAGTCAGTTCTCAACATGATGATCTTCAAATTATAAGTCAGCAGCTAGTTAGTCATGGTGGCACAGGCCTGAGCCCTGGCTACTCAAGCTGAGACGGGGGAACTGCTTGAGTGGTCTCTCAGACTAGCCTGGGTAGCAGCAAGACAGCATCTCAAAACTAAATGAACAGGGTTGGGGATTTAGCTCAGTGGTGCTGCCGCCTGCCTCGCTAGTGCAAGGTCCAGAGTTCCATCTCTAGTACCAAAAATAAATAAATAAATAAATAAATAAATAAATAAATAAATAAATAAATAAATAAATAAAGTAAACGAATAGATGAACACATAAATCAGATCATGTCACTTCTTTGCTCAAACTCTTCCAATGGTAGCTGGGTGTGGGGACGCACACCTGTAATTCTAGCTCTCAGGAGGCTGAGGCAAGAGGATCACCAGGAGTTTGAGGTCAGCCTGGGCTACATAGCCAGACCCTGTCTCAAAACTAAAACAAAATCTTCCAGTGGTTTTCCAGAATAAAAGCTGAAGTTTCTCAGCACCTACAGGGCCCCATGCAACGGGGCCTCTCTGGCTGCTGGGTCTCACTCCCCTGTCCCCTTCTGTGCCAGCCACCACCTGGCTTCCTGTTGTTCCTCAGGCACACCTGGGGTGACCCTCTGTCTTTGTGGCCGCTCTTCACTTTGCCTGGCCTACTTTCCCCACATAGCTCTATAGTTCACTTCTTCCTGCCATTGAGATCCTTTATTCAAATGTCACCACGCAGTCAGGCCTGCCCTGACCTATTTAGAAATGCACCCCCTCCTCTGCTTTCACAGCATGTATCACCATGTACTACACATTAGTATAAAATATGCATTGACATTAATTTATACACATATGTGCACTTCCAGAAACACTTTGTATGAAATGGCAGTATAACTTGCGTATAGCTCATCACTAAAACATAGGACCTGGGGAAGGACAGATTTTCTGTAATGCCACACCCTGATGCCTACAATGGGGCTGAGCACAGCAGACGCCCGGTGAGTATCCAAAGGTTTCTTTCTCTCCACCCAAACTTTCTGGTAATCCAGGCTGGACCGGTCACCTCACCTCCATTTTCCCTTTCAAAACATTTTCCATGCAGCAGACTTCAGGGAACGAGTCTAACATGAGCACTCGATGCCTTGGGTCACCCACTGCAGACCAGCTAAAGTCTACAGTAGCTGGGAAGTTTTGAGGCATTTGCCTGTTGTTCTGTTTGCCTAGAGAACTTTTGAAAGAAAAGCCCCCTCTTTTGCTCATCCACACTTGTGCTAAGGTGGTAGTGTAGAAGTCTCTTCTTCGGGAAGCTGTTTTTGATCTCCCACAGGTGGGACACTAGAATGTTGGAAAGCCAGGTGTGGTGGCACTCCCCTACGGTCCTACTGCACAGAGTCCAAGGCTGGCCTGAACTACACGGCAAGACCCAGCCTCAGAAAACAAAACAAAGGATGCAGAAAGGTGCCAGATGGCTCCTAGTGTTATCTCACTATGAGACACAGGCCCCCTGCAGATGGAGACACAGGCCAGGTGAGCTGCCTGGGGTGGGACGGGGACACTTTCCTGCCTTCTTCTCTCGTGGCTCTTACGCATGTCTCCTTCCATGTCCCTCTGCCCGCTCACCTGCACATGAGCTGCTCCGGCAGGGCCTGTCTCCTAGCGTAACAGGGTCCTGGCACATAGCTTTTGAAAGAGCTGAGTGTCTTCCTGTCCTTACCTTCCCAGAGCAGGCCGCAGGTGGGTGGAACTGGAGAAGCAGGGGCAGGGCCCCTGGCTGTCTATGGTAGCCATCACCCGTCACTGAGCTGTGCTGACACAGCCCTGAACACCCACCAGCAGTCAGCTGCCGTCCCCACGCCGCCTGCCCTGGGTCTCTCCTGAGAAGCCTGACTGAGCGTAGGATGTCAGTGCCACCATGCAGATGGCTGCCCTCCCAGACCACACCCTGCCCTGCCCTGCAGTCTGGGGCATCGGCATCCCCACCTCCTCCCTTCCTGGCCTGCAGCTGCCCCAGCGCCGGGCAGGCTGGGCTGAGTCACTTCCAGTTCGCTTTCCCCTTGGCAGTCTGGCAAACCGCTCAGCTGCCTGGCCTTATGGCCCTGAGCCTGTGGCTCCCTCCTTGAGGCCCGTGGCCCTCAGCTGAAGAACAGCAGACCAAAGTTGCCTGTGTACTGGCCTTTCTGGGGGAGACAGTGAAGATAATGTGCAAGACCTCCCCTCCCTAGACCTAGGGACTGTCTGCTCTGGAGACCCGGTCTGGGCCGGGACCATTTTTCCAGAAATCGCCCACCTGGGACTGTGTCCCAGAACCACCCAAGCTCAGGGTCTTGGCATTGCGCGCATTCTCGGGGGCTGTCTGGTTCTCTGACCACCGGTCAGAACAGAACAGTGGGCTGGTGAGCTGGGCGTGGTGGTGCACACCTAGAAACTGAGTTCTCGGGAGACTGAGGCAGGAGGATGGTGAGTTTGAAGCCAGCCCAGGCTACTTATTCAGGCTCTGTCTCAGAAAA